CTCAAAAAAATTCTTGACTGAATGAGCAAAAAAAAAATAATGAATGTATCATTTTTATACACTACTTTGAGCCCGTCAGCATCTGAATTAACTACCTCTCCATAGTCAGGTTCCATGGTCATCTTGAATTATGAAAAAGCCAAAAATGAAGTCCTCAGGAATATTTCTAAAACAAAGGCCCCTTAACTTTTTTCCAATTGTGTACTTAGGCTTTTCCCTTATACAAAATAGAGTTCTACTAAGAATCTGTTTTATTTGAGTTTTAAAAAATAGCCCCTTTATCTTTTTGGGCTTTCTATTTTGACATAATTTTAGAGTTATATGTAGTTGTAAGAAAAAATAGAGATCCTATGAACCCTCCACTCAGTTTCCCTTAGTGGTAATGTAAGTATTGTCCAACATCACAGTCAGGAAACTGACATTGACACAAGATACAAACCACCGATCATAATTTTTTCAGATCTTACCAGTGTTACTGGATTGATTTTATGGCAGGGGAGTGTGGGAGTTGGTAATAAGCATTAATGATTAGCATGGACCCAGTTAAAACCAAAATATATCATGGTTTCAAAAAAGAACACCTCTTTAAAATTATGGTCTCCCTTTTAAGTAAGTCATTTCAAAAGCATTTTTCTCAGTTACATTTTCTATATTTGGAGTATCCAATGTACCTTCCTGCTCTCAAGGTCACAAAGTGGCCAGGCACAGTGGCACATGCCTGTAATCCCAGCTACTCAGGAGGCCAAGGCAGGAGGATCACCAGTTCAAAGCCAGCCTCAGCAAAAGTGAGATGCTAAGCAACTCAGTAAAGCCCTATCTCTAAATAAAATACAAAATAGGGCTGGAGATGTGGCTCAGTGATTGAGTGCCCCAAGTTCAATCTCCAGTACCCCCCCAAAAAAATGGAGAGAGGAAGGGGGAAGGCTGGGAATGCAGTTCTGTGGTAGAGCATTTGCCTAGCATGTGCAAGCCCTGGGTTCAGTTCCCAGCAGCTGCGATTAGGATTGAACTTCCTTCTGCCTCCCCGCCCTCCACCTCTTTGAGTGCATAAGGTACACACACACACACACACACACACACACACACACACGCACGCACACACTCACACACTCAGATTTTCTGCGGCTTGCCTTTTTCTATGCCTGAGTACCTTGCTGACAAGTGCTAATAACAAAATACCCAGAGAGAGTCGAATTGAAGTTAGCACACATTAAACATTCTGAACTTGTCCTTTTGCTCATAGATTGTGCATAATTAATAATTAAACAGTTTCCGTTGTAATGGGTTGACCTTCCTGAACTGTTCATTATTCACAAGGCAAAGGCATCACTCAAACTTCTTTCCCTTTGTCCCTTCTCTGTGCTCTGGCGTATCGCATGCTTGCGTTCCAGTTGTTTAGCAAATGGGGCTGACCAGGTAGTTACTGAAACCTCTGAGACTTGGAGCCTGTCCTCCTTGGTGACCAGAATTGCTTGCTGAAACACTTTATGGCAGCTGTTTTTATATAACAGTTGCCTGCTCAAGAACAAAACCCAGCCTGGGCCCACTGGCAGGACTCTAAAGTTGATTTGGGACCAGAATCTCAGGTTAAGGCTTTTGGTTAAGGTTATGTCCACTGTATCATTCCACACCTCCATGCTGAGAAGTTCAACAGAAAACCATCCCCAAAAAGCCCTTAAGGTGAAATATGGCACCAAGACCTTAAAAAGAGTAACTTTTATTAACAATTTAGAGTCAGTTTTAGCCAGTACTGAGAGTTAGCAGTATTGCTGCTTCTTTAACCTGTATTTGTTTTCAAAATGTGTTTCTCCACTTTATCTGAGCCCATGTTTTACAGAGGACATTTTTGATAAGTAGCAGCAACTACTTTACTGGGTTCTCAGAGTCCCTTGGGGGTGGGTGTCAGTGCCCCCTCTGGCTCCATGGTTACCAGATGTATTCCCTTCCTGGGAGTTGTGGTAAAGCTGAAGCCCAAGCTGAGTTCCCCTGCTCTCCCTCCTGCCCACTGATTTGAACTAATATCAAAATAGGTAGGTTCTTGGAGACTTTTCATGTCCTGATCTACACTAACTTCTACTTTTGTTTTTATTTTTTAAAGAGAAAAGTGTACTTTTAAAACCCTCCAGCACAGTGGACATCCTCAGGTGTATTTATCTGCTTCCCTTTGGCATGTTAATAGCCTACATATTTTTGTGGAATTGGAAGCTCTCTGGGGTCTCCTTTGCCCCGTGTTTACATGTGTCATTTCCATCACCCCTACTAGTCAGTCTGTCTTCTGCATTTTAGAAAATTCTTCCTTGAGGCACAAGAGACATGGATTTTAGAATGAAAAGAAGTATCTGGTATTATGCACATGAAATTAAAATTTTCCCCCACATCTTTGATGAGTGTTTCTTTCCAGGCACCACTGAGATGAGAATCCACTGTGGTTCTGGGAAGTCGACTTGGGTTGGCATTTTCAGAAGTGAAATAAATTATTCATGGGTACCACCCAGTGTTCCTTAGTTTTATAATACGAGGAACTTAACAGTCTACAATATCAGGTCTTAAATAAAATTAACTACCCATGCAAGATGTCACATTTCCTTTTTTTGTTTCTCATCCATGTTAAAATGACATCTTCATCAAGTTGCCTTGTCTATAATTCATTAACTTGCTCTGGGTATCATGCTTTGAAATGAGACCCACATTAGCATCATGTTTTATACCAGATCGTGGTAGAAAACCATCCAGAATTTTAACCATCTTGGTAAATATTCAGCCCCATTAAGACAGCATGCTTTTGTTTTCCTACATACTGCATTTTAAAGCTTCTTCTACTCAGACATTTCCAATACTCTAGGAGAGAGCAATAGAGCAAAAGAAAGATCTAAGAGAATGACTTCAAGAAGCTACCTAACTGATCAGAGTTCATAATAATTTCTGCACCTCAGACTTTGAACTATCTTTTTACTAATGGTTTTTGAGACAGTAAAATGTCATTTCTTGAACTGGACCTTGTGGAATCTTGCAGGCTTGGTGATATATATGGCTTTCCTAAAACAGGCCAAGGCTGAAATTGATATCATGTTTTATTTTTGCTCTTCAAACCAATGGGACTTCTGTGACCATTTTATAGTACCTTTATCGAGGACTTGTCATGTTATTGTGTGCCTTGTTTCTTTTGAGTAGACTGCTTCGTCAGCCACCGTTTTTCATGTCCTCTCTATGTAATGCCTGCATATAAGCCTTTGAACTTGGCAAGATTTTATTCTACTCCCATTTTCTTTTGTTTTCCTTTTCTCCTGGAAGCCTTTCTCCACTGAGAATTTTAAGTTTCGAATCACCAGCCTTCCCCTCCTCTGGATGAGGAGAGTAAATGCTAAGAGGATAGATATGCAAAAACCAGGAACTATTTTGTTCTGGGTCCTCTTCTGTTAACCTCTTTGGGATTTTTTTTTTCTCTTCCTTTTTCTTTTTTTTTTTTTGGCCGCTTTGACCCCCTCAGTTCCTTTTGATTTAATTGTATTTTCCAGCAGTTTCCAATTGTTTGAATTGGAAACAAAGCCTTAATAAGAGTTCTAGTTAATTTTATGTCTTGTAATTACCGATCTCATTTTTCTGATAATTGGCCACAGCAATTATATGTATATTTACTAATCACATAGGAGGCTGTGCAATTGTATCTATCTGCCACCATTGATAATGACACGCATATTGCAGAGGTGCTTTTATCATCTTCTTTTTTCCACTACATCAAAGCTATTTCCTCTCGTTCTCAATAATGAATACATGCATGCATTTGACACAGTTGTGTGCTAGAGAAATTGTTTGGCTCCCACCAAATGCTGCATGCTCTGAGTTTCTTGCCTGCAGCGCTGGAAGGTTGTATGTAATGATATATTGCTCATCCAAATGGCCAAAGCACTCCAAAGCACAGTGAGATTAAAATAAGTCATTCCTTTGTTAATTTAAATAGGTGCATGTATCATACTTTGCAGGGCACTTTGTGTAGGGATGTCAGGGAGGAAAAAAGCCGCCGAAAGGTATTTTTAATAGCAAATGAGAATAGATGAGAATGGAGTCATTTGCAGCTGCCTACTTTATGTGGCTCTCTTGTTCCAACTGTAGGTCTAATGAGATGACTGTTAAAGTACTCTGCAGTGTAATTTCATTACATCCTGAGCTGTTACACTATAAACACAGTGGCGCTCTCTGTCATTCTTGGAAAAACTCCTAAATTCTTAAAGCCTTCCTTTGCAAATGGTAATGGGGCCCCCAGCTCCCCGTGTTCCGTGGCGGTGGCTGCTGTGCAGTTTCTCCTCTTCTGCGGGAACTCACACTTCCATCCCAGTTTGGTTTTGTGGCGGTGGTGGGCGATGGTGGGCGTCTTCCTCGCGTCCTTCATTCGCTGGCTCTCTCCTATGACAAGTTGGCCCAGACTGGCAAAGAGGCTGAAATTCTTTTTCCTGAAACAACTTTCTCTATAAATGCCTTTCTTTACAGTTTATTTATTTATTTATTAATAATCTGACACAAAGGTACCAGCTTAGGGACAAGCAGTTAAGAGCAGTTGAATATACAAATAAATGTAAATAAACAGGAAAGTGTAAATAAATAGCAAACCCAGTAAAAGAAACAAAGGTCAACACAAGAATAATTTCACAGCTCTTTGTTAATTACAAGACCATTTGTGTGTTACTTAAATAATCATTAATTTCTCATTTACACTTTCCCCACCTTCCTTCCTACCCTGTGGCTATCATTGTCCTTTTTTCACCTCCCCTCCCTCTTTGCTCACATGTTTCTCACCAACATAAAATGTGTGTGCCTTGAAATTTGGCATTTTTGCCTAAATGTGGGGAAGAGGGTGTAGCCGTCTTTTTAATTGGATGAGGCCTCCTGTCATTATGCTCGTCTTTATGCTGCTCCTCTGCGGAGGGGGGAGGGGAGGGGACAGAAGGGAAAGAAAGGAAAGCAATGGTCGTGACTTTTGGTGACTTGTTTTTCCTCCATCCCAGGATTCGCCCGTCCTTCCGGTTGGAGAGTTCTCCGAGCCATTTGTACATTTCATCACTCAGTGGTGAGCCCGTTTGCAAACATGCCATGCCCTCAATGTAAATGATACATGCCATTAACTCGCGGCTCCGGGAGACCTTATGGCTCTCCCTGCTTTCTTTTGGAGGCGGGAGGGACTTCGGGGCCTTGGGCAGATGGGACAGCAAAGCTGAAGAAATTGTTTAAATTATGTAAACGTTATTTACACAAAGGGTCATAAACGTACTTCGGAGGCTCCTTCCTGTTTTAATAAACTGCTGAGAGTCGGGCCCCTTCTTAGAGCACAGAACACTGTTCCATCCTAGCTTCTTTTTTTTCCTCCCTAAGAAATACACAATTTTATAGCCCCTATTGAACAGACATATGAGGCTTATTTTTATTAATGTAACCTCAAGTTACCCATAAAACTGCCTGTCACTTAGTGGAAGCAGCATAGTTTATTAATTCATCGGATTTTCAGTAAATAACTTTTATCTTTGGTTATATTTTAAACACAATACTGGGGTCCCATTTCACTGAATTTTGATGTTTGAAAGATTCTGAAAGCATAGTTCCTTTAGGCCTTCTTCAACCCTTAAAGAACTAAGAGGAATCCGGGTTTAGACCAAAGGATCCTCAGAACCCCGAGGAACCCCAGGTCCCCGTGCCCCTGGGGAAGCATGCCCTGTCTGCCCAGCGTTCTTCCCTAGCCTTCTATCTTTTCCTCACACCAGGAAGTGTCTTTCTTCCATTAGCCCCTTCCATTCTCCCCTTCCCTGTCCTGCAGCACCCCTGTGCCCTCTCTCTCACCCCAGCATAGAGTATCACTGGGAGGAGGAAACTAGATAGGAATGACTGTCCCCAAGGACATTCTGGAACTCCTTCATAACTCCCTTTGCTCCTCTCTCCCTCCTCACCCAAGTCCTGCCTCCCTCCCCCTCAGTCAGTCCACTGTGCAAAGCACACAGGCAGCACCTTTCAGAAGGAGTCCTTCCATCCTGGGGTGCAGCGAGGTAGTGCAGTCAGGAATCTGTGCTGAATGGAGTGGTGGTACCCTGTCCCCTCCCCCATGATCCATCTGATGATTACGCTAAAGTGAAACCAAGAAATATTCCTTAATATAAACGTCAAGCTTTATCACCTTCTTGACTAAGTGTAATATGTTACCTCTTAATAAAAATGTCTCATGCAGTTTATATTCCACAGCAAAAAAAAAAAAAAAAAAAATGTGGGGAAGAAATTTCCACCCCCAGCACGGACTTAAAATTTTTTAACACTGTTTCTATATTTAAAATACTTTGTATATGTATTCTAAAGCTTTTAGGGACTATTTTTGTTCTAAAAACCTATTTTTCCCAAAGCATGTCATGTTGAGAAAAAAGCATACATATTGATTAAACACTGGAATCCTTAGCTTTTCTGAATCTCATTAATGATCTTAGAACCATTATACAAAATTATTTATTAATTTCTTAATTTCCTTTAAATGGAATTACTAAAAGCACTCAGAATCACACCATAGGCATACTCCACTTTGAGATGCAAAATTGAAAAACAAACCATGCAATTCCTATGCTACCTGGAACCCCTTTTGGGCATCACCACTCCTGGCTCCAGAGATGTTGGATTTGTGACAGACCACTTATCTCATTGTGTGGTCTTGAAACCAACCCAAGAGTGGGACTGACCCAGACAACCAGGGAGAAAAGTGGGTAAGGCTTTACTACCCTCATATCCAAAAAAATTAATCCATTGTTAGATAAAAGTTTTATGGAGACAGAGGGAGGGATAACCTGTGTTGTAATTTCCACAGATGTCAAGCCAAAAGAGAAATAATAGTGGGTAATAGCCTTGTTTTCCCAAGAGATACAGCTACTTTGGAATGTCAGATTAGGACTGTTACTCCACTAGTGAGACAGCTTGAATTACTTGCTAATGGATGCAGTATTTGAGAGGTGCATATGGTTATTTATAGGGAAGGCAAATGTCCTCGATGTCATTAATGGTTCATAACTACGGTTCTAGTTTACAAAACAATCATTAAATCTCTCTATTTAAAAAATAGTACTGTCAGCAAATGCAGAGATTATAATGAATGGTTTTCTTTTTTTCCTTTAGAGGGTGATTTTATAAAGAAAAGTCATCTGTATTCTTTTCCAAATGATCGAAGAAGCAGGAGTCTCTTTTCATGTCTTCATCCCACAGATACCAAGTTTAGAACAAACATGGTCATCAAGTAGGCAGTACTCATGGTCACTTAGTACCATTCATGTGTTTCATCACATAGCTAAGTACATGCTTCAGCCACTAATTATACTTTTGGATGGGAGACAAGAAATATTTTGCATGAAAAATGTAATTCTTTAAGCAGCTTAAACAAACTTAGCTGTCCCATAGCTGTTGAATGAATTATCAACTGGCATTGTAGCCAAAATAAATTCAAGTCAAGATAATGTATAAGAACCTATCTGTAATTTCACAGCATTATCTAGATTTCTGACCTCTTTTATATATTACTTGTCATTGAGAATAGTAGTAAAGGAATGAAATGTATTATCATTTGACTTGACAGTCACATGTGTTTTTTTTACTGTCTTATACCAGTAATCAAACAGAAATACATTGATTTAATATTGAAATAAATTGAGCTGGGTGCTAGAGCACATGACTGTTATCACAGTGATTCAGGAAGCTAAGGCAGGAGGATTGAAAATTCAAGGCCAGCCTTGACAACTTAGACCCCATCTCAAAAAAAAATTTTTTTAAAAAAGACTGGGAGATTAGGGCTGCAGCACATCCCAGGGTTCTAGTACTGACAAAAAAAAATTTTTTTTGAAATGAATAGATAACTGAATCAGAGAAAAATGTTGCTGCTGCTTTTCCATGTTAACTTCAGATGTGAAGTACAATAAATTCAAATTCATTATTTGCCTGTATTGCAAATGTAACAAAAACAAACAAACCAAAAACAAAAACAACCTTGTGTTTCTAATTCATGAAGTCCCCAGAAATCTGATTAAAGGCCAAAATTAAAGAAAGGGAATATATGTTTATGCCTGAGCATAAAGAATTAAACATGATGGATTTTGAAAACATCCAGATTCAAGGAAAAATAGTCAGAGGTGTAAATTAACAGCAAAAATTTATGAATGATATAGATAATATGAGGGGGTTTTTTGTTTTTTTCTCCCACAGCATGCGAAAACAGCCAAAAGAAAGGCCAGCACCTGAGGAATTGATGGTAAGTTCATTTTTTTAGTTCCATTCAAATTCTCCAGTTATACATTTATGTTTAACATTCTATTAAAAAGACCAGAGTGGGGTTTTAAAAATCCACAGGCTCTGGAAAGGCAGAATCGTATACTTGATTTAGGTAGGTGTTTCTGAAACTCATATCCTCAGATATGGTTCTTACGTTTTTAAAAACCTACCACACTTTTGAAATGTAGTACAGAACTCTCTTGCCTCCCTCAAGAACCTCACACTTAATGTCAGTTATTCTGTGTCCTCATTTGTTGTTACAGCCTTTCGGAAGCCAAAGGGCTGGTAACAGAGAGGAGAGTCAGTGTGTGTTAAGTGTTTGGTGCAGTCCTACAGGAAGGAGTCTGATTATGGCATGGAGTCCTGGATTCATGTGGAATGAAATTAGGCTGGCTGTAAAAGATCAAGTCAATGTGAATCTTTGGTCTTTCCTCAGAAACAGACACTACAAGGCTGCCAGCACTGTGTCCTCAGTTCCAAGGCAGCCTTCTTTGATTGCAAATGACAGTTTTTACTCAAGCAGGGAGAGGAACAGAGAGCTCCCTAACAATTCCCAAATGGTCATTTATTTAGTGCAGATTGTTGATTTGACAATGCACAAGCTGTTAGAATGACGTTAGGATGGGACATTAGTAAATAATAATTATGGTCTACTCTTTTCCAAGTTTTTGCATACCATTTCCTGTCTTTAGATCACTGCAATCAGAGCAAATCACCACTGATTTTCCTTTACCTTTTTAAACAGTGTACATTTTACAGATATTTTTCCAGAGCTTTTTATTCTTCAAAGTGCATCCTAATAAATGCTCTAAGTGCCCAAACTTTTATACAATATAGGTTTCCTCTCCACCCATAGAGAACCTTTCCCTTTTACATCATGAGTGCTCTCCAGGTAGGGACTTTTCTCCTTTGTGTTGCCCCGAGAGCAAAAATTCAACTTTTAGCATAGTTTCAAGTTAAAGTTCACCCTAAAACCTCTGCAATTTACTGCTATGCTGGTTTTGTGTCTAGAATAAACTGGGATGGGTTTGGGGTTTTATTGGTTTTTGGTTTTGTTTTGTTTTCCTTCTCTTTGGTGATTGGGGAATCCTTGCAGTTAGTCACATTTGAGAAGACTTGGAACAGGTTCCAGAGATGTTTACCTTGTGCATTATTAAGCTATGGCTCAATAGCTCAGCTATTAAAACAAAGGAATGGGGTTTCATAAAACAGATATCTATTTGTAAATGCATGTTTCAATTGCTGCAACGAGTTGGCCACTTATAAATAAAACATCTGCAGATCATGCACATACCCATAAATGTATATGGATGTGTGTGTGGATAAGGAACACCTCTCCAGGGTAGCAAGTCATAAAGATAAGGCTAAAGGGTGAGATCTTCCAGTGCCTGGGAATCAAGTAAATGTGGATGTACGTGCATGTGTGTGTATGGAGGGGTGTTTAGATGTATCTCTTTATGCTCTGGTGTGTGCTGTCCCAAATGTTTAATTAATAAATATCAATAAATCAATACAATACAATGAAAAGTGTAGTCAGCAGAAGCGCCATCCTATACTTAATTTAACATTATTTCTAGTACAACTCACTGTTTGATTTTAAATGCATTTATTCCCAGAGGAATAGCAGTAACGAGGCACCCCCTCATTTGGTAGGGGCTGGGTGTGGAGGCTTTGAACAGGAGGTGGGGGCTGCTGTGGTCAAGGTTGCCAAAAGGTTAGACCCAGCAGGGGATAGGAAAGGAAGTAGGTTATCCCTTGACATGAATCTGTGTCACATCCTAGGGACCCAGTCTTAAGGAACAGTTTCTTTATTCCCCCCAGCATATTAATGGCTTTAATTTTTCCTTTTCCCTCTCCGCCTACAAGCTATGTGATGGTGCTCCCATCTGGAAGCCAGGAGCCTCCTCTGGAATGCGTGAACTGTAGAGCCCATTTGTCACTGTGGGTGGGGGGTCTGTGCCTTTTGCAAAAAGAGCAGTTTCCTTCCCAAGCACAGTAACTCCAGCCAGCGGGTACCAACGTGGGCTGCACAGCTTGGGCTGCATCAGCTGTGAGGCCTGCAGGATTTTCAAGGTTTCCCTGTGGGTTTGCATTTTCCAAATCAAAAGAAGAAAATCAGAGATGGAGTTTGGTGGAAATACTGAGAGTTGTAGATTCACCATTCACTCCTAAATGAACTCCAGGTATTGGCTTGACTGGTGAACACAACACACCTTGCCTAAGGAAATCAGAACATGGGGTAGGTGGGCCACATCACCCTGACTCCTGGCCCTGGGCTGTGCACATAGTGGGCACTCAAGCTGTCTTTGTCTTTTTATTTGGTGGGGTCACTGTAGATGCCAGGATGTCCAATACCAAGTCTTAAAATCACTGACCAAGTCAGTCTTAAAAATGAAATGTAAAACTCAAGGTTCAACTCTTGAGACCATTAAAACCTGAGTGTTAGAACTCATTGTTATCTGGTTATTTAATTCCCTCTCTTGTGGGTGTTTATTCTTCAGATGATTGTCAGTTTTTATGTCCTAAGTGGAAGACTTTTAAGGCTAGATTAAGAAATTCCCTTAACACATTTTTGAGAAACTAAGGTCCATATGAGCTGGTACAGTTTTCTAGTGTGTAGCCATTAAGCTTCATAAGAATTCCCTCAAAAGTTTCATCATCAACATCCATATCCTCTTAAAAAGGTCTCAGGACCAGGTAAATGATAGAATTCAGTAGATATTTATAGATCACTAAGTGCAAAGTCTTATACTAGACCCAGCAGAAGATATAAAGTAAGCCACAGGTGTTTAGAGTTGCAGGGGATATGTCAGGGACACAGATAACTGTTCAGAATAAAGTGGCTCTTATAAAGGAATTTGGACAACTGAGGAAAACTGTGTTGAGGATGTAGCTTTTGAAAAGGACTTTCGGAGGATGGGTTGGATTTTAATAGAGTTTTCCAAGAGGCCATTCTAGGCAAAAAGGGCAAGGAGGAGTTGTGTGTAGGTGCCAGACCTTCTCAGAGCAGAGGGAAGCCTCTAGTGCCTGCTCCAACAGGAACCCATTGACATTGATTGACCTGATGGAATCCTAAGCCCTCAAAGCTGTGAGTTCAGAGAGGCAACATAGTCACTGTGAGCTAGGTAGTCTCTTAAGAAGTTTCACTTCTACAGAAGGAATTCTAATATCCAGGTCTGAAAATTCTTGACTATATAGAAATAACACAACACACCCGTCCACGTGGACCTTTTTCCTTGAGTGAATTCTCTTGAAATTCACTACTCATCCAATGCATAGGGAAGTCCCTCGTACTGAGGAAGGCAGCGCCTTCTCTTCAGCTCTTTAAGAGCCTATTGCATGATTGAGAGTCAGCTTTAAACTCCACAAAGGAAAGCCAGCCATGGGCAGCCAAGATAGGGAACCCCCAACTCTTTCTGCCCCTCTCTAATGATTCCATTATTGAAGAACCCACTTTGAAATCACACTGATGTGAATCACAGGGAGAACCTTGGAATGTGCTGCCCAGCCTGGTGGCCTGGGATCAACAAACTTAGAAAAAAGTTTTCAGGCAGTGGAGCATGAGGAGGTGGCAGGTAGAATGTTCTGCAAGCTTCAGACCACCATGGATATGTTGGCTCACATGGGGAAAAACCCACTTCTGCCAGTCAAAAAAAGAATGATGAGATTCCAGCAGAGGGGAGAGAAAATAATGGAAAGGTGGTAGAGAAATTTCCCCAAAATGCCAATAATCTGATTGAGGAAACAAAATCAGACCCTTAAACTCCAGGACAGAGAGACAACCAAAGAAGAGAGCATTTGGATAGTGGTTCTAGTCTGATTTCGCTATTCAAATTACATGTTTAATGGGCTGGGGATGTGGCTCAAGCGGTAGCACGCTCGCCTAGCGTGCATGCGGCCCGGGTTCGATCCTCAGCACCACATACAAACGAAGATGTTGTGTCCGCCGAGAACTAAGAAAAAATAAATAAATGTTAAAATTCTCTCTCTCTCTGTCTCTCACTCTCTCTTTAAAAAAAAAAAAAAAACAAATTACATGTTTAAATATTTTTTTTAAAGAGAGAGTGAGAGAGGAGAGAGAGAGATAGAGAGAGAGAATTTTTTTTTTAATATTTATTTTTAGTTCTCGGCGGACACAACATCTTTGTTGGTATGTGGTGCTGAGGATTGAACCCGGGCTGCACGAATGCCAGGCGAGCGCGCTACCACTTGAGCCACATCCCCAGCCCCATGTTTAAATATTTTTAAGTTAAAGAGATATGATAAAACATTATAGATCACTTGTTTCTATAAAGAATTCCTCCTAAGGAATTAACCTTCCTTTAGGTCCTTTGGTTGCTCAGGTGGGGCTGTGGCCTATCAGACAGAGCCTCTGCCATGGGCCCTTCCCTGTGTCACCCAAACAGTGCCCCATCCCCTTTACTTCAGCATCTTCCTCCAAAAATCAAGGGGACATACTGAATCAGCAGGCCTTGTCCCAGGGTCTATGACTCCAGGAAGTCTGTTAGAACCCCTGACATTTCATGTGTGCTTGTGAAGATTTTCTTTTTTTTTTTTTTCCTGAAAAGAGAAATTCATGCCTTTCGCTAATTTTGCAAAGGAGACCATGACCCTAAATGATTGCTAAGCTCCCTTGCTACCTTCCCATTCTGTTCCTTAGAGCTGTGTGGCCAGGACCAGACAGGCAGCTCAGGAGGGGGCGTTCATTCACTGGAAGGGTGCTTGCTCGGTGTGGGGGTAGGGGAGGCCCCTCCTTGTGGGGCGCAGCAGGGCTTCCATCAGCTGTCTGGCAGCCCTTTAACCTCCCAGCCTATTCTGAATGAGGGCCTTGGCTCTGGCAGGGAGGGCGAGTGCCGCGGGTACCCACACGGTTACAATTTGGGCTCAGAGTGCTGTAGATCCTTCTATGCATTTAGAGTATTTCCAGGAGCTTCCCATGTCTAAGCTCTATTTAATGGAATCTATGCATAGTAAGTAATC